GTCCGGGCCCTCCCCCGTTAACCAGGACTGCTGGTAAATGATGGAGAGTGGCTTGGCGAGCTCCTCCACCAGCTCCCTCAGCACTCTTGGATGGATCCCATCCGGCCCCATAGACTTGTGAGCATCCAGGTGACGTAGCAGGTCATTGACTTGTTAACTCTCTCATTAAGAGAAGTGACACAGCATAATCCCATGGGAAGGACAAACAGTGGGGCTTTCGCAGGTTGGCACTGGAGCAATCGGAGGGGATCACTCGTCAGATCAGATAGTTCCCCAGATCTTCTCAGCAATGTGCCCTGGGTCAAGATCTGAGCACCCTCCAAAAACAAGCACGACAGTCACCTGTCAACCAACTCAAAACCACCCCAGAGGTCCAGCAGGACACTCAGGAAGGAGAAAGCCTGGCTGTTTTTCAAATGCTTGATCCACCTCCCGGCACCAGCCGTCTACAGCCTGGCCACTCTCAGTGGGATGGTACCCAAGTGTTCAATGGGCCTCGATGGGCCTGTCTCGTGTGAGGTTATCCAACGTTTCTAAGGCGGCAAAAAATATAAGTACATACAAAGGCATCCGGCAGCAGTGAGTTTCAGAGCTGAACTGGACGTGCTACAAAACATTTCCTTTCATTTTAAGCCAGATACACCTCCTACAATCCCACTCGATTTAAAAAAAAAAAAATATCTCTGTTTACAACCCAATGCCTCTCTCTCAAGAGTCCCAGTGAACTCAAGCTTTCCTCCTGCAGAAGCCAGCCCTGCTCAAACTTTCCGTACCTTTCTACCATTTCCTATTTCAATTCAGCCTGTACAGTTTTAGCACATGGACACATTCAGGTGAGCACAGCTTCTTCTTCTGACCACCTGGTGCCTCGCTGGCCCTGAGCTGTCTACCAGGAGCCATCTTTACCATTTCCTGCTCAAGTTTCATTAACTGCCCTAAAAGAAAGGAGTGGGAAATAGTCATGTTTACAAGGCAAAGATAAATCATCCCATCACGCCTATCTGTGTGCCCAGCCAGAATGGAAGATCAAGTGGCACAGGGCTGTCCCAGTGTCACCCAGGGTAGGCAGGATGACACAGTACCTCTGCCGCTTGCAGTCACAACATCCCCAGCACTGCCAACATCCTTTGGCCGAACATGTGTGTGATGCTGCCCACACACAAGCCTGGGTTAGATGAAGGCTACTGGCACAAGTACGCCCTGCCAGTCTCCAAACAGAGCTGTTCTTCACATGAGTGGGAAGCTTCACATTGTCAGCAGGACAATAATCCCTGAAGCTTCTGCCCCCTGCCCCAAACCAAGGCCTACTACAACCCACGGGACAGTTACAGGGAAAAAACACAGCCTGAAAGGCAGCCCAAGAAGTCATATCTAGTCTACTCTCTTTTCTACTAGCCCTGTCACTAAATATATTAGGACTATCAACAGAAGATATTAAGACCCACTGGGCAAATACAGCACCCTCTCCAAACTCCTTGTGTTTCACTGTCCTCATTCTTCTGTTTTAACTTGTCTGTAGTGTCATTAGAAGTTATTAGAGCTTCTAATACACTGATAGTGACTCCCACCTTGGACCAGCTGAAGCTGATAACACCTTCTCTATTTCATCAATACTCCACTGGTGTGATGAGTGCGGACCCAGAGGAGACCCCTCCATCAGTGGTGCAGCAGAACCATGCCAAAACACAACTGAACACTTGGACTCCTTGCACAAAAGGCTCTGCAAGAGAGTGGAGACGCTTCACGTAGGAAAACAGCTTTTCTCCTGCTTCACCTTTTGCACTCCTCTAGGCAGCACTGCAGACAGTGGCATTAAAGCAAATCTTGTGGGTAAAAAGGAAAAGAAGAGATGAGAGTGAAGACAACTCAAGGAAGGAACATCCTGTGTGGAATGGGACCAATATATTCAAGAAGAGATTACGCAGTAGGCAAGAGATACAGGTATCTGCACAGAATTGTGTGCTGTCCTAGAGAACTCGTCAAAATCAGAGAGACAGAAGCAGAACAAGATCAAAGTTAAATCAAGTTGAGGGCAAAACACCAGTTTTAAAGTTAAGTCATTCAAACAGCTGCAAGAACCGGCCTATTGGATTACATGAGATGTTTAAGGTCTTCTGCACAACTCGAGCTGGACGTAGACACTGGATAAAGGTCAACAGGACTGGTGTAACTGAATTTCCACAGCCATTCGCAGCCTTCCTACCAAGTCAGGCAGTGTGTAATCAGGGCAGACGTGGTCTGAGACCTTTCAGTTCATCTTTTCCACACACCGGTTTTCAAAGTGAGACTGTTAGGGAACAGCAAAGTTTTAAAGTCTGCAAGATACTCATGTGTCCTGCCCAGGCTATTGCCTTTAAAAAGGTATGACAGAAGCTAAAAGAAGAGACCATTAGTGATTACTATGATACTTCCATAGAGACTAGACATTTCCATAAACCTGTAGGGCAAAGGAGAAGCATCAGTGGAGGACAAACTACCTAATATTGCCAGGCTCAAACAGTACTGATGTCTTTACAGCAAATTAAAGATGGGCAAAGGGGTGTTTTGAAAGTCAACTTATTTGTTTTAAGTTTGAGAGAATAGAAGAGATTGCTCTACACAACTAAGATGATGAGCTAGAAACCACTTCATCCATTGCAAAGACTGCTGCAAAATAAGGGCTTGGTAATGTCTTGCTGATGTCTTGCTCTGTATCTATAGCCAGATACCAAAATTCAATGATTTTTAGTGACAGGCATATAAGAAAAAAAACTATTTCTTAGAAAATAGGAAAGGCTTAAAAGACAGGCAGCTTTAGCACAGTGACCCAGAAAATAACAGATATGAGCCACTGGGTTAGAAAAATGAGAGCACGTTACTGTCCAGATACAGAAAGTACAGAACAGGAAGGAATACAGCAGAGAGACAGGTTTTTAACCAATATTTGCACATGCAGGAGATGCCACAGACAGGCCAAAATTTAAAATCTTTGAATCAACCACAAAGGGCTTTCCACATCAGCCTGCACCATTCAAAAATCTCTAGGTGGCAAGCAAGATAACGCACACACAACTGCCAAAAATGCAAGATTAAACACCACTTGCCAGAGTGCCTGCGATGAGCCCAAGCTCACTATATCAAATAAATGAATGCTGATCTATCAGCTACCCGACTCAAGAACGGAGTACAATCTTCTTCTCAGAGATGCAAGTTAAAAGTCACGTTCTACTGAACCAGAAATTCACTTTTGTCCATGACATTTATCTCCTTGCTGGTTAGAGAAGGCCACTGGCTATGCAGTTTTCAAGCCAAACTAGAGCTTACAGGAACATAGACTAAGGAAAGGAAAAAAGGTAATTTTACTTCCATGTTTCAGATGCAAACTAGCACAACTGGTATCTCACCGAGGCTAGCAATTTCTTTTTATTACTAATTAAAACCAGGGCAGCACACAGGGAAGCAGAGGGTTGTGCAAAACCGCTAGGAGAAGATACTTGCACAAACACTGTGCTATTTCAAGCTTTTCACGTCAGCTGCACCTGCTGTGGAAGCGCACACGCCCCGTGTCTTTTCATGCACTGACAGAGACGTGCCGAGGCTGCTGCAGCCCCGTCTTTCCTCACTGCATGTTCTAGGCTCTCCCTTCCCCTAGTGCTGGCATTTGTTGGATCCCACCGAGCTGGCCGCAAAAAACAAATCAAAGATTAACCCCAAAAGTGAGAAGTTATTCAATTTTTGGCCAGCTCAGCTCCCTGAACCGGTTTGTGACAAGGGTGAGAGGAAGGCCTACAGCCCCTGGGGAGGGGGGGGATGGCAGGATCACAGCAGCCCTGACAAAGGCTGATCGACCTCGGTGGGTCAGAACTAGCAGGCAACTGCTGTCATGCAGATGCATGGCACGCGTATGTTTTTTTGCGGCAGTCAGATTTAAAAAAAAAAAAACAACAGGAACATTTAACACAAGGGACAAGGGTAAATGACAGCTCTAATAGAGACTGAACCAATTCTGCAATGGAAGGCAACTAAGGAGCTGCGCCAGTGAAGCACGCACACCCTGGGAGCAGAAGCCTTTAACATAAGTGAGAAGTTATTCAATTTTTGGCCAGCTCAGCTCCCTGAACCGGTTTGTGACAAGGGTGAGAGGAAGGCCTACAGCCCCTGGGGAGGGGGGGGATGGCAGGATCACAGCAGCCCTGACAAAGGCTGATCGACCTCGGTGGGTCAGAACTAGCAGGCAACTGCTGTCATGCAGATGCATGGCACGCGTATGTTTTGCGGCAGGATCAGATTTAAAAAAAAAAAAACAACAGGAACATTTAACACAAGGGACAAGGGTAAATGACAGCTCTAATAGAGACTGAACCAATTCTGCAATGGAAGGCAACTAAGGAGCTGCGCCAGTGAAGCACGCACACCCTGGGAGCAGAAGCCTTTAACAACATAGTGATACTGTGCAGCTGGTTTGAAACCTCCAGATACAACCAAAACAGTTCCATTCAAGAAGCTGCAGAAAACAAAGCAGCTACAGGGCTGAGTGTGGAAAGCTGGTCTGCGAGCCTTCAAGTCTGGAAGAACACCAACGTTTCAAACGCTGTTCATGAACAGCTGGTACTCACGTGATGAAGTCCAGAAAGCTTGCTAGGGGCTCATATGCATGGTTCCTCATGTGACGAAACTCCACCACCATCTTCTCCTTCAGCTTGTCGTCTATGACGGAGACGGTGAGCGGGGAGGCTTCATTGGCCAGGAAGTTCCCATAGTCTGTGCTCTGGAGGTGCAGTTTCAAGTCTGAAAAAGAAAGAATAATTCCACTCTACAGGGTTTGCATTGGGTTTGGGGGTTTTTTTGAGCGTATCCGAGAAAGCTGTTGCTCAGCACTTCTCTGGGCATTCTCTTCTCTGAAAGATCACCTAGACAAAACCCATGTGTTAAGTCATACGCTTACATTTGTCCTCACTTTTATCACGGACAATCCAAATGCAGTAAAAGATCAGTGTTTCACCACACCAGCCTTGACCCATCTTAAAGAGGAAACTGTGACACTATCTGTGTAACTGAGCACACACCTGTTCCAGCTGTCCACTGTGCCTGACCAAGGTGGAAGGTTACTGATTTTGTAGGAAGTATTTGCTAGAAATCTAGGAAAAAAAAAGAAACAACTTAAGCACTTCCTCTAGCCAAAAGGGCTCTGGTTGCAGGCTTCTCTGAAGCAATCATGACCAAGAACCTATCTGCACCCACAAGCAAGTTTCCTCAGAGACTAGTGATGTGGAAGCATCTGAAAAGCTTTCAGAGCCAAAAAGACACAAACGGCAACCTTGAAATTATAAAGCAGCTAGGTATTACATCATCAAGTCAGTCCAACTAATTGCACCGGCAAAGAAAAGTCAGGTATTAAGAGGTAGAGAGGGGCTGGTGGAGACGAAGGCCAGTCAAATATGTCTCATATGGTAGGCAACCCCTGCCCAGGATGGAGGAACATGCTCCGAAGCCTTCCCCTCCTCCAGTTTCAAGTAGAGGAAACCTTCGTTTCCTCCGTTAACCTCGCTGCAGGTCAGGTGCCCAACCAAGCTGCAGTCTTGGCCAACAAGCAACCACAACATACTGAGCTCTGTCAAGATAAAAGCCCTATTTGAGCCAAAAGCATTTAAGTGTCTCCATGGAAAAACTGAATCCAGAACTGAGGAGCATCATATCGTCCTACTCCTCAAAGCTCTACTAGTTGCACTGGTACATAATGTTCATCTCCCTTCAGCTTTACCTCAGAGGGCCAGTTAGGCAAGCACCCTCCTAGGGATTCAAGACCTTTATGGGGAAAGGAGAGTAGCTGGGAGAGTTTAGTCAAACCAGATGTGAACACACCGTCCAGAGAAAACAAAAAAAACCCCAAACCCCAAAACCAGACACTTTTCCCTGCTTTCTCTGAAGCAGGAGCACTGAGGCTGCCTTTCCCTTCCACTGAACCATAGGAGTCCTCAGCATCATCGCACGAGCATCCACGGCACCAAGGTCAGAGCAAGGACTCAGCCTAGCTTGGAGTTTGATTTTTTGACATTACACCCAGCTACAGGCATGAGCTGGAGAGCATCCTCCGCACCGGCCTCCAAACTGAGCTTGTACTGTACAGTGCAATACTGTCCTCAGCCCGAGGGGTGGAAGGGTCACATGGCTGTCAAGCGGACTTTAACTCTTCAGGGTATTTCCAAGGGGGTCTAGCAAAGATGTTTTTGACCCAGCACTTTTGAGTTATGAAGACGTTACCACTGCTACGTCTCACAGGAAACAGATGGTGGTTATGGGGGGGGGGGGGGGGGGGGGGGAGGCCAGAGACTTAAATAGCGCTCAGTTGCCATCATGTTTCTCAGCAGTTTACAGGAGAGTTTGGTGGCACTCTTAGTAAGGAATCCTGGATGCAGCAAAGAGAGCTACTTGCCCAACAGCACACATCACGGCTGAAGCGAAGCAGGAACTTAACCTATATCTCTGCTCCCCAGACTGTGCTGCAGTAAAGAGTTGTGTTTTATTCTACCAAAAAGATTATCAACTTACGCTCACACTGTCGAGGTGGGAAAACATGGTCCAGATAACCCAAGACAGTGGAGTTTTCAACATGACCCTTGTCAAAGTCGAACACCGGATCCTGCCAAACCTCAGAATGCCCCTCACCTCCATGCAGCCTGCATAGGATTGTTATTGACGACAATCACTTCCTAAAGCCTGCAAAAAGCCCAGCTCACAGGCAGCACGCTGCATGCAAAGAGTTCTCGTGCATCTGTTTTGCAACTGCTTGATTTTTGAAAGCTGAGATATAGTTACAGAACGGAAATCTACCAGAATTACGTCTTAATGAGTTTCAGTCCTGCTTCTGAAAGCTCCTGGATGATGAGCTTTGGAGTCCGAGTGGAAATTAAGTTCCACTGTCAGATCAGGGCTTTACTAGTTTGCTTTTAGTGGAGGCTGGAGAAAGCATGGAGCACAATTCAGCAGTTGCTCAATGAATACGAGAGAAAGGGTCCTTTATTGCACCCATAAAATCAGACTGCAAGGGAAGGCACAGGGGACTGCAGTAGCCACATTCATATACCTCCTACTTTCAGTTCTCTGTAATTGTGCAGAGCTCTAATGAAAACTAAGCCTGCCCAAAAAGGCATGTGATGTTGTTTTGCAGCTATACAGGACCTTGGAGAGGAAGCAGCTATTGCATACCCTACCACGTCTTACTTCAGTAGGGAAGCTTCCAAAGCTTTCAGCTTGTTTCCTCAACTCCAACCTTGCTACAGCAAAACCGTCGGTTCCTTTCGGTGTCACCACGACCTGCAACTCTGCTCTTACTTTTGAGGCTGCAAGAAGCCGCCTTGCTATCGGGTCACTTGATGCTAGAGACTCAGTGACGCAAAAAGTAGAGTTTGCTGTACCATCCACTTCCAGGAGGTAGTGGATGCGTTTAGACCAGAGCCACACAAGCTTGCACGCTGGGCCTTGCAGCCTCTCCCTCAACAGCTCTGAGCAAGCTCCCATGAGCCGCTTGGCCAGAGCATTTTGTCCTGCTCGACGAGGGGGTTGCCTCCCCAACTCCACAGCACAAGAGCCAGCACAACATTGTGTTGCAACTGGAATAAGGGCCATGCTTATATAACACTTGGAATTAACTTTTACGGGGAAGGTCAGCCACAATCTGCAGGAACTAAACTCTTCTGAATCTCTTAGCATCCAAGCAGACAGAACAGAACATATTTTCCAAAAATTGGACCGGATTTATAAACCCTGACTCAATGCATCCCACAGCGTACCAGTGCCTTACGCGAGCCTGTCCTCCTCCAGCCACTGGGCCAGTCACCGAGCCTCAGTCAAGGAGGTTTGGGAGTTTTTAATAGGACTATTCACGTCAGGCTTCTCAGTTAAGAACAGACTAATCCCGTGGTTTCACAAATCCCTTGCCAGAAGAGCTGTCCCAGTAGCACGGTGACTAATAAGCGGACCCACTGCTGAGCAAGCCCCACGTTCTCCAAAAGCTCAAGTTCCTATTTCCTAACGCAAGTTCAGACCGAGCTGGAGTCGGCCTCTGGCAGCAACAGCAGCACCTCGGCAGGGGCGGCTGCCAGAGATCCCACACGCTGCAGGTCGACGAGACACTGGCTGCGAGCCTTCTGCCGTGCCTCCTCCCCAGCTGCCTGCCGAAAGGGAGACAGACCTGCACCTAGAGCCCAGCCGCTCCCGATGAGCTCCTCCAGATGCTGACTAACAGCAGCACACGGCCTCAACCCAGAGCTTGCTTTCGAGAGGTACGTTCGCCTGTTCCGGCATTCTTTCCAAGCGGTTCACGCACTTTAAGAGACAGACTGAGCCAGCATTTGGCAAGGGAGCGCTTGAATTACCACAACGCGTTTTGTTCTCTCTCCTCCCCCGCAAAAGCTGGTAAATTATGGCCAGGTCACAGTTCCCAGAAAGCTGCCTTGTGCAAGAACACAACAGCTTGTCAGAACGACAGCCTTTTTCTGCTGAGTATTGAAGTAGGGTAGCGCTCAGGATTACCATGACATGTACTTACAGCAACCTCCTTTCAGCTCTCGGATCAGGCCCTCTGGTTTCGATGCAGCTGGCTGTACATGAGGCTAAACACAACTGAAGCTTAATTCAACACACCGCTGTGCCAACAACCACACCTCGACATTTCAGATGACATTTTCTTGAGAGACTTCAGATCCACAGTAAAACTGCTATCCTCTCCTGCAAGTTTGCTTTGTCATAACAAGGAATCAAGCCGTTACTCAGTCTTTCAGACATCTGTCAGTCATCAAAGCCTGTCCTGTAAGCCCTACTCGGACAGAGTGACCCATGGCCCCACCAGCTCATACATCCACCCCTTTCTTCTTCAGCATCCTCCCGTAACTGCATTGCAGAGCTCTGAATCAAGTTAAGGGCTCAAGCACTTCCAGGCAAGGACTGATTTGTCTTCTCGTGCACAGGCATGGAATTAGCTTTTGCAACTTCCAAGCTGAACTGACGTTTTCATACAATTATCTGCTCTAACCCCGACATCTCACTCCAAAGCACCCGGGGCCATCACTGCATACATAAACATTAAAATATCATTTGCCATCTCCCAGGCCTGAGGCAGTAAAGCAGCTGAGGGATTACACAGCAGTCTGCAGATCAGCTACATCGCCCACGTCTCCCTTCAGAAGACTGCAGTCATTACCGTTTGGCTTGTTGCTGTCCGTTTGGTCTGTTTACAGTCTGTTCACACACTCCTGGAGCTGCTTCTCTGAAATCTCACCTGAGAAGCGCCCAGAGACCCTTCATTCCCCGCAGAATTTAAGACCTTTTCTGTGGTTGCACACCACCAGCAGTGACATGCCACCTCTCCTCTGCTGTCAGGCAGCAAATTCCTCTGGGCCGCAGCGGGACACAGAGAAGTGTCATCTTTGGCCCTTTTTCTCACCAGTGTCTCACCTCTAGCTCTTCACCTCTCTGTTTGAGATGTCCTCAGCACCAAAGAGCAGCCTGTGTTTCTAGCCCAACCCTTCCAGGGTTGAACTCAGCCCCCTCAGAGCTTCAAACCCAACACGGCCAGGTCTCATTTCCTTTGGAGCCCCTCAACCAGGTAGCCCTCTCCTGATCCTTCCAAAAGGCAAGGTAACCCCTTCTAATCCGCCTGCATCTCCGGTAAGCTTCACCCCTACGTACCCTCTCTAAAAGCAGACCGCACTAAGTCACGGCTGTAACCTCAGAGGTCCAGTACACTAACAGGACATCGGCCCGGCACCTCGTGTTTTAAGTGGTTTAAGGGAGAGGCAACAAATCATTCAGAAGCTAAGAGAAACAGGGCAGAAAGCAGTCTCATACTGCAGGAGCCGACAGCAGAGGAAAAACAAGATGAAAGCACTGACAGGCTGCCGAGTGGTAATACTTGCCAGGAAACCCAGACACCATCATCTTCTAACGAGGGGCAGGACCCAAACAAGGGCTGAAGCTGCACCAGTGCTGAGAAGCTGACCTCAGCTGCTGCTTGAAGTTTAGCTAGGAGAAGCTATGAAGCAGGTCTCTGCCCAGTAAAGGAGGCCAGAACAAACAGCAAAGTTTGCCACCATGATTTAGCAGGCCGTGGAAGTGCCATCTTTCTTCCAATAAATAATGTTTTCCTTGAGCTTATTTTAACAGGACAGCTGGTTAACCAGCCACAGCGAGTGGTTACACTGGAGGACGCAGGACAAAGCACCGAGATTAGCAGGACAGCCTTTCAGCTACTGCTCTGTTGCTGCAAGAGCAGCCAGCATTCACAGGACAGGAGTGGTCTATAGCCTCCTCAGGTCTCACCGTTCCTGTATGTTCTACCTCATCTGGCAGATGAAAGCTCTTGGGGACAGGGCCAGGCCTCCCGCACAGTCCCAGCAAGCAAGGGTCAGCTTTTCACAAAGGGCTCTCCCAGACAGCATCGTCATCGTGCTTTCGAAAGGTCCCTACCACATTATGCCTTTGCTTTCCCACCCACCGAGTTTGGGGTTCAGAGTGAACCCTTCTCAGAGTTCAAGATGGATCTAAGCACGGCCACACTTCAGGACCATCAAGTGGCCTCTTCTTGCTTGGTTGTACACCAAAGGAGCTGCACAGGAAAGGATCTACCCCATTCCCCCCACACCCAGGAGAACACCATGAGCTCCACCGTGGACCGAGGTGCCAAAAGCACTCCCGGAGGTAGTCTGTAGCTCTGGTAGCAATGCAGCTTCTCTACACGAGAGAGGACACATTGCCCACACGGTTAAGCTGAAAGAGAAGCCCAGCTCCAGCCTTTTGGGGCCCAAATTCCAGGACCACAGTGATAAAATGGAAGAGAGAAGGGTAGCACAGCCTTTTGCGCTCTTCTCCCAGCAAAAGGAGATACGGCGAACACTCAGCATGTAACACCACAAAGCAAAGGCAGCCTCCAGGGGGGCAAAAAAGATCCTTGGAACTATGAAAACAAAAGCACACACTGCACTCAGCAGAAGCCTGGCGCACAGAGGACACGTTCCCCAGCATCCATTCGTTGGAGGCAAGAGCCCACAGCTCTGCTCAGGCAGGCCTTTGCTTTGGTGCGCCTAGCCATCCCGTGGTTAGACAACAGCAGACACGCCTCACCCCACAGTGGCTCAGCCGCGTGCTCAGTGCCCTTCAGTGTATTTCATCACCTCTCCTCTGCGTGGAGAAAGAAGGAAGAGGAGAGAGTGGGAGAGAAGTGGATGTCTTTGCACTGAAGAGGCATTTTAGGACAGCAAGCCTTTAGCAATCCACTCGGGAGTTGACCGAAAGCAGCGCTCCCCTTCTGGGCAGCAAAGGCTACGTAGAGCAACCCTGGAAATACTCTTCAAGGTTGAAAAACAACTAACCAACCTGTCCAGTCGCGGTTTATTCCACACCATCCAGCCCTGTATCAAGAGTTTGGTGCTCACTATGTATTGCTACAGATTAATTTGAGAGAAAACAAAGCTCCGGCGTGTGTGAGGGTACCATTCAGGCAGATCACCGTGCCGTCCAGCTGGCATGGAGCCAAAGTCTGGGACAAGCATGACCTACTTGCTTCAAGCTCTCTGATTTCACTGTTGATTCACATGCGTCCTAGAAGTGGAGGTCTGTGGACCAAACCGAGGAGAGAGAACCACCGTCTTGGAAATCCCTTCTTTCTAAAAGAATGTATTTGCTTCTCCTAGCCACCCTTCACCTCCCAAATACATCTTTGGGGCCCAGATGGTTACTCTGCTCCTCCCCAAGCTGATGTGACACGACACCACTACCTTGGGGTTACGAGGACCGAAAAACCAAGAGTGTTCACGGGACAAGTCCACAGCAGACTGATAAACTGCAGGCTGAGATGCCCAAATAAAACACGACAGACCCCTGTGGGGGCATGAAACTAGTTCCACACACAGCTTAAGCCGAAGACGGGACAGATCTCACCCCTCCACATGCACACCACTGTTTCCATAAGGCGTGCAAGTCCCCAGCTGAGCCAACTGCATGGACAGAAGCACTAGCACCCACAGAGAGGGGGTGGTGGTGGAAACACGCAGCCTCTGGAAAGCCTCTCCCAACAGCGGCCCACACTAAGAAGCTTGAGCCAACTACCTGCCACTTCTCAGCTGGCTATTTCTCAGCCTCATTACCCAGCTAGAAGGTGACACATCCTGCTGCTGGATTTCACCATACCAGTTCACCTTTATTACATTGGCAGGTGAGAAAGAAATCGGTTTCCTACACTGTTCCCGTGGAAGCAAGACCCATATCAGCAAGAGGAGGCTCGTGAACGCTGACTCAAAGATAAAGAAATTCCTGTTTCTAAAGACGACTCTTTTGTACGCTTCCCAGGCTCCATGTACTTTTTGCAGTACGGAGCATTGCAGATCAACAGTAAAGCCTGCCGATAACCTACATTCCAGTCCCAGACTGAACTCTGCTTCTTAAAAGCAGCGCCACTGTCCAACTGCATCAACAGCTTTTTATTCTCCAGAGATGATACCAGACCTCTAACAGGCTACCACAGCTTTTAGGAGCTGGAGATGGCTCACCATCCTTTTGACAGTAGAAATCTGGGTGACTCATAAGCGTGGTTATCCAAGACAGATTCCACTCAAGAACAGATCCATGCTCACACCACTGAAGCAGAGGAAAGCAGCTCCAAGTCCTTCACTGACACCTTGTGTCAGAAGCAGGAATTGGCTACAACAGAGAGGGCCAAGCAGGTTCCAAGCAATATCCAGCAGAGGTGTACAGCCCACACGGACCTCTGGCTGCGAAACAGCCAAAGCACCAGGACTTTTGGAGCTGAAAGAAGGGATTAAACATATTATTGCCACGAGTTTCAAGAGAGAGCCTAAGCCAAAAGAGCTCTCGTGCCCTTCCTTCAATCCTGGTCATGTTTTCCTGCCCCTTCTTAAAGCCAGCTCAGGAGCCTGCCTGATCACAGACAGCCTATTTAGCTCCCTCTTTCTAACTCATCAAGAAGCGAGAGCTGGAATCGGCTTACTTTGTGATCAGACAAGCAGAGACCACAGAGGATCATGCAGAAGAGCATGATCTCCTCCTCCCGGCAGCACTAAGCTGTCAGCCCGAGTCCTGAACCAGAGAATTGAATTCGCCTGTGCAGCCGGACCGATCCAAGCACACAAGAGGGAGCAGCATTTCAGACCTGGAAGCACAACATCCTCCAGGCGATGTCAATACCAGTGACCAGCCAGATACCCGATTCCCAGGGCCAGCCCCAGAACAGCCTTGGTCCTTCAGGATTTCTCCGCGGACAAGGTGATGATTTGCTCTGGGACTGGGACTAA